CCGTTTATCCGTCCTCTCATGGGCTTTGTTTATTTCGAATTCCTGGATCCGCCACTAGTAAAATATAATTTATTTCGTCGTTAAAAACATTTTAAATACATTGGCAAACAAGGTTAAAAAACGAGCACTTCTAAAATCTCAAAATGGAATTGGCGACCGGGACCCCAAAAGGTCCCTCAGCAGTCTCAGAAAGCCACGGGGCTTAGGAATCTATGGCAGAGTATTCATCTCACATGGCCGGATTTTCCCCTATCCTCGTTTACAGACCATCATTATCATCACATCATCCATCATTCATCATCATAAACGTATCATAAAGATTATATGATATCATCACCAATTCAATTTTACTATACCATAGTTTATGAGTAGAAGGAATATTGGCCTTATATCAGGACTCCAGAATTAAAAGTAAATTAGAAAGCCTAATCCATACAATCGAATTAGTAATCCGCACGGATTAGTAATACGACAAACGAATTCGTAATTGGTTGACCAGAGCTAGAACATGTTACAGAAGGAAACTTCTTGAACAATATTATTGAAAAGCCTTGTGGTTTAAAGCGTTGTATGTGAGGAGTAAAATCTTAAATAGCCTATGTATAATGTCTTATATTAAGGAAATCCTAATGTTCTTTTCTTTTAATAAACAACGATAATTATACAAATATTGCTTCGCTCAGCCTGTCTGAGAGTGCACTGTATTATAAAAAGTTTAATTGCTTATTTTACTAATTTTAATCAATGGCTCCAAACGAACATAATATTTATTGTATTGAAACAGGAGAATTTTATTGAAAATGTTCATATAATTTGTGATGTAATCCGTAAGAGCGAATTAGTAATTCGTACAAACGAATTAGTAATCCGTACGAACTAATTAGTAATCCGTACGAGCTAATTAGTAATCCTTCTTTCTTTCTTTCTATATTATCCAAAAGACAAATTTAAACATATACAATGGAAACAAAAATTATATAACTTGATCAAACTTGACTCAAAATAACTCGCAGTATGCACAATCTTAATAAATGTTTATAAAAAAAAAAGGAAAAAAAAAAAAGAATATAACTTTTATTGCGTACATTACAATCTCGATTGTGTTTCTCTTATGGTATAACACTTGCAACTAAAGCTTTGTAATGTGATGTATGTATACTAATCTGGCAGTTTTTTTAAAATCTTATTTACCGTAATTTATTTGTATTATTTAATTTAATTATATTATATATTTTTTCCTTTTTTCATTTCTTTTTTCTCGTTTTCTTGTATCGATTTTTTATTCTTTTATTTTATAATCGTCTTCAAACTTTTTTTTAAGGAAAGCATGCTTTAAGGCATTTGTATTCCTCATTTGCCTATTTTGCTTACCCATTTTCATTTTCAATGAGACATGCTTTAAATTTACTTTTAAAACTTTACTATTTTACTTACTCGTATGTATGTATATTGAAATGATAACATATCCTTTAGATAAAAGGAGGTTGAAAAGACATCCTATGAAATCAAATTAATAGATAAATCAAAACAAACGCTTCAATAATAATAATAATAATGATGATGATGATGATGATGATGATGATGATGATGATAATAATAATAATAATAATAATAATGATAATAATAATAATGATAATAATAATAATAATAATAATAATAATAATAATAATAATAATAATAATAATAATAATAATAATAATAATAAGGTAAAAACATGCCATAGGCCTACAGAAAAATCTAAATGGAAATCGAAGTAACATCCTTTTATTGTAGTAAAAATGTATTGGTATTTAATTCCATATTTTGTCCAGTTGTAGTGGCTACTTTCGGCTGATATAGATTTCCCTTTGATTTTTAATCCTTACAAACTGATTAGTAATGCGTACAAAGGAATTATTAATCCAGATTACTAATCCGTACAAACGGATTACTAACCCATACAAGCGAATTAGTAATCCGTACAAACGGATTAGTAATACGTACAAACGAATAATTAATCCATACGAACGAATTGCAATATCTGATTGGCACATGGGCTTTCGTAACTGTAGCTACGCCTTAACACCCATAAACAATACAAGATCTTCTTGGAATTCTGAATGGCTCAGTTCCCTCCCTTTTTAGCTTTAGTTAATTTTGGTGTTATGTATTTAAAAAAAAAATTAATTGTATTTTAATTTTGTATGTACAGTAGCCTACAGTTTAGTCTGTATATGTGCATATTGTCAGGAGTAATGTAGAATTTATTTTGTTAATTAATTTTTGTTGTTTACTTGACTTGTCAAACTGTATGTTGATATTGTGCCGCCGTTCCGAAGGCGTATGTTCCCAAAGTAAATAAAGAAATAAATATACATTCATTGTTGGGCAGCGGAAACGGTCCCGGGAGGTCAGGCACCCTCCTGACGACGAATATGGGTTATGTGCTGAATTAAATTTTATGTTTATCTACATAATATTTCATAATGGAAAAATATGCCCCGATATGTTATGAATAATATTTACTTATTTTGTAAATAGCAGTCTTCTTCTGAAGCCCGATTTCGATAGCACCCGTAGTCGTGGGATCAGTCAACAGATGATGGCTTACTTTATACTCATTTAAATAATTGACTGGCAACCAAACATAATATTTATTGTTTTGATGTGCTGAAAATGTTCTTAATGTTAAGCCTATTATAACCAACTCAATATATAGAGCACCCTGACCCAAAAGGGCTTTGAATAACAGCATAATAGTCTCCGACACCAACTGATCATATTATATCCAGTGGCGAATTAAAGGGGGGGCCCTACATTTTTTAAGTTTGTAAGAGGTGCCACATAATTATACATTTTCTTACCTCCGCCCCAAGTATGGCGGTACATCGTTCTCATTTCACCGCTCGTCGCGGGTGATTCTGCATTGCCAGTCTTGAAAAATGACGTCACGCACATTCTGGCACTTCATTGGGTGATGGTGACGTAATGCCATTTACCGTACCTTTAGCAAATTGAAGTAGAAATACGGTACCGTATCTCTAGCAACGGCGTTAAATATTCCGTACAAACGGACTAGTAATCCGTCAAACGATTGGTAATCCGGATTAATAATTCGTACAAACGGATTACCTATCCATACAAACGAATTAACCGTACAACGGACTGGTAATACGTACGAACAAATTAGTAATCAACCCCTAACGGGTTATTTTAACTACTGTAAAATGTTTAGCCCATAAATATGATGTGTGTGAAGAACAACATTAAACAATATTTTAATTCGGACCTTCAAAAAGCAGTTAAAAAGAAATGGCTATGGAATTTTAGGGGGGGGGGGGGCTAAAGCCTGTTTAGCCCCCCCCCCTTAAATCCGCCCCTGAAATAACCCCTAATATGGGGACACTTTTTTCATTGCATCACAACTACAACAGTCTCAAAATAAGAAAAATGCATTCAGCTTTATATTTTGATACGGTTGGCTACCTTTCAAAGCAATAAACCAGAATATTATAAGAAGACACTTTTTTGGTCGTACATGACGTCACATGCCGTTGACCCATGACCCTACGTTATTTGTTTACAATTATTGTGAAATCGCTAAATGTACTTGGTACTCACCGTTTACGGTATTGATTTCCCGCGTAGCAATTAAACAATCTGTGATTACACTGTCACAACTTGACTGGTCGAGCTCTGGACTTGAAGTGCTCTATCTTCCCGAGAGCCTTGGGTCTGCCGGGTGTTGCACGTGTATTGGTAATATGCAAATGCGCTGACCCGAAGGTCGTAGTGCCTCAGTGATCGGGCTGCGATTTTTTTTTCCGTACGAAACATTTACATGAAACTCCACTCGGGCCGTCTCGGCTGAATCGACCAGAAAATCTCATTGCAGAATTCAGGAGGTCAAAAGGTCATCAACAGATAAACGTCTACAAAACAACTTCTGAGAGAACGTCGCTGTCTAATTTTTAAAAATACATTGATGTTAATATGTTAATACCAATGGGTGGTTTAAAATGACATATAATATTTGATTAAGCTGCACGAGTAATGAAAAAGTGTTATTTTAACTTGAGTTACATACTATGACAATTTTAATTTTTTAGTTAGGCCTTGGTTTTGCATAATTAATTACCTAGGCCTACTAAGACGCTTATTGGGAAAAGCACAAAGAGCAAGGAAAAGCGCGTTTTTCTTCATCTGATCAAATGAAACAGAATGA